CACTCCAGAGCCTGGAAGGACCACAGAGGCTGTTTCTATGTGAAGCATGGAGTACCACCCCTGCAAGCAATCAAATCCCAACCATATATCCCATAACCATTCATTTTACTGACTGACTTGGTTCAACCACATACAAGAAAAAAAGATAATCATGAATAGTAATTTGCAAAGGCTGTTACGTTTGGAGACATGCTGCAACCATTAATCAAAACACAGTAAATCTAACAGTCTTCTAAGTCTTACTCATGACTTAAATCACTCAATTTTAAGTGCAGTTGGCAGGGCACACTCATGTATAATTATGTCATGAGTCACATTAGTTTAATTCACTCAGCATGCAGATAAACTAGATGTTTCACCAGAAAAACAAATTCAGCTGATGAAAGCCTAGCATTTATAAAACAAATGATTTTCTTTAATCCTGACCTATATGAGTTATCTTCTGTACCAACTGAATCTTTTAGGCATACAATTATAGTCTCTTGCACAACACATCATACATAGTGGAGTGAGATAGGCACAATTTCTAAAAGTGCTTGGCAAACAGACTTGTGAGAGCTCCTCTGAATTTTTTCATGCATGTGCTGGATAACATGCAGCATGGAAGCCCTTTTTGTCACAAGACCCTCTGTCTCTTTCAGATGATCATTCCAATGCATCTCAGATCTGTAAATCAGTGCTGCTTGCTTTGGGTACACCTGGCTAAATTTCAAATGAAGAGAAATAAGATGCAGCATGCACCTCATACGTGACTTTGACCAAACAGGAAGAACATTTGGAGAGTTACTATACTAAATGCAAATGTGCACAGCTTAATGTCTGCTTTCATTTAGCATATATAGTATTTTATTTCATATGTCATTTAGAGCCAGACACCCTGCCTAAGGAATGTCACAGCAGTCAATTACATGCCATAAAATTTGATATCAAACTCGCATGTGGCAGAAGCAAAAAAATGAGAACCACTGCCCTCCTAGACAATCTGAAAGTACAAATTAATCCAAATCAACTCCCTCAGAATCCTCAAAAAAATCCAAACACCACACCTGCCAGGAAGCAGTTTAGCGATCTTGGCCCACTGGTTACCCCACTGACGGTGGGCTTCATAGATCACCCTGTCTTCATCTTCTGTCCAAGCTGTCTTCTTGATAGCAGGATTTAGATGGTTATGCCAACGTTCACGACACTGCTTCCCAATCCGTCCCTTCAGATGACGGGCAATGAGTGTCCATTTCTTTGGCCCATATCGTTTCACCAGTTCAACAACCTTTTCATCCTCCTATCATAAAATGAAAGCAAACACACAAACATACAAGATATATAGTTTTAAACAGAAAACTGTTACATACAAAACTCACAATGCTAACTGGTACCTATTTTTCTGAGCCACTTCTGCAGCCATACAGGGCAGCGGAAAATACTTTCTCATTCATGGAAAGTATATACTGCTCAGTAGGATTTGAGGTTTTCATGGCAGTGAGTCTGAAGATGGCTGTCTTCTGGGTTGTTGCACTGCGTAGTGTGGTAGAAATTTACTGACATTTCAGAGGTCCTTGCTGCCTCCACTTCTACCAGATTACAGAACACAACAACCCAGAAGACAGCCATCTTCTATATACTACTCAATTTCATGACATGGTACAGAGGAAAATGTACTACACAAATAAACTACTGCAACTCATTATTATAGTTATTTTTACTACCACCACCACCACTCACTTTTTAAACAGTAAGTCTTCAGGGACACACACTTTTAACCCATGAAAACAACATCCTAACCCCACACTATTCCGCAACCATGGTTTACACCCACACCCGTGGACTGAAAGAACCAGAGGAACTTCTTATGTGGAGCGTTACTCCTGCAAGGATCACATCACAATCAAGCACCCAATAACTAGTCATTTTATTGACTGAGCTATCATGGTTTCCCAAATGAGATGGGAAAATGATGATGAACAATATGTAGGAGAGAATATGAAAGGAGACTGGAATGGCTCATTTAAAGGTACTGCCCAGTATTTATCTGAAAAATCTGAGTGAAACACAAAAGAACCTCAGTCAGTACAATCCGGAGCCTGGACAAAATTTGTGCTAAAAACCGTCAGAGTACAAGTCAAGAAAGTTGCAGCTGCACCAAACTGCCCAGTTCTTCATCAATTTTGTGTAACTAGTCTTGAAGCAGTCAGCAACTTTGTCTCTACTAGTATCTTTTTTATGTTCAGCTGCTCTTAGAGAGAATGTCCTGCTTCATGTGATCTGCTACTGATTCAGATTGCACATCTGAAGACATCTTCAGAAAATCACACATTAATTTAAGTCATATTAAAAAAATTATGGGACTTCCATTTGTTATATTTTATTGTTAGTGTACTCATGCTCACTCTACATAAATGGCCACTTGGTGGTTGAATTAGCATGCAAACACACACGCGTGCACGAAGAATTCAATTGCTGGGTGTTCTTTATGCTTTTGCATAACAAAGATCATCTTATGTGCCTGTCCATGAAATTCGCGTTTCACATTGTTGCGCAGTGGCCTTGAATCACATTACCGCAACAATAAACCGATTCCATTCTACGATGACCTCGTAGCACTCACAATAACCTTGGGCACAATCGATATCATTGCTGTAATTTTTACTCCCTTAGTTGACCCGGGATTAGACATAAAGAACGCCCTTAGAATTTTAACGTACTCCTAAAACTACACATTTTCATCATCATCCTTTTTTTCGCAGCTATTGCTACTGCTTTCTGATTGTTGTCGCCAGTATTATTACAAACCCAATCTTCGTAGCGCATCGATCATCTGCAGGCAAAAGATGACACCCCACAAAGGGCCTCCTCACGCCAAGGTCAAATATGTAGGAACGCGGGAATGAGTCAGTCACGAGTCGTCTTCTTCCTCTTTTGGTAAACGAGTCACGCCTTCTTTTGAATCGCCAAACGGTGCAAATTAGCTTCAACTACTGTACTCGTAATTGTTTACGTTGATAACATGCTAAATAAGGCTCATACACGCTCAGAACATACCATAACGAAAATGATTCTGGCCTCCATCCGATTTCCAAGAATCGAAGGGCGCCTATTAACTCTGAACATGATCTCAGTTGTAAAATAACACAAGAGTGGAAACATGAAATACTCCACAATACGTTACGCACGAAAACAAGTGCACAATTTGAATTTATGTTAATTTACTGCAGGTACAAATCAACTCTAAAAGTTCGTGACGATGGTGAGTTATTTGAATAAAACTTGCATTGGATATTTTCCATCGTCTAGTAAAATAATAAAATAGACCACGACGTTTCGGAGATGGGGCTCTATCTCCGTCTTCAGGTACCTACTCTGTTAAGCCCAATAGATAGAGCTAATCCCTATCTCCGGACAAAGTAAAAAGTGAAAGTACTCGGAAACGTCGTTCTATTTTATTATGTTACTAGACTATGGAAAATATCCTAGGCTAGTTTTATTCATACAAATCAACTGTTGAAAAGTTGATTTCAATGCACATAAAAAAATTCCTTCATTTTATTCCGTTCAAAATTCACCGTACCCAAAAAATTTAACATAAAAATTGTACATCTTGAATGCAAACAATATTTTATGCCACGTTTCGCGCTGCATTCTGAGAATTCTAGTTCAACTTCAGGTTCATGTAAAGCAGGACCGGTAAGAACTGAAATTAAACATCTCAACAACTTTCGTGTGTACACCTAATATCGTCACACAAACGGGTTCCAATATGACGAGTACGCTGTATTTCTTTTTAACGTGGCACCATGTGAAGAGATTACTGCTGTGAACAACTCCAGCCCTGTAGGTAACGTGGTATGAGAATAGTGTGCACATTATCAACAGAGCGATTTGCACGTAGAGAAAAATTTATGATATGAATTCGGTGACGAACGTACTGAATAGATTGAGAAGCGCAAGTATCAGCGATTATAAGTTTAGAAAACACACAAGATGCTGTAGAAGAGGATTGTTAAGAGTTTAATGTATTTTCTGGTCTTTGGAGATACGCAAAATAAATGGACGTCAACACCTCCAAGTTAAACACAAAGTCAATGTAGCTTAAAAAGTTTAGATATGACAGACTGCTACTGCGGAGACTTCTGTGCTGTTGCTCTGTATGCGTACGCATCGAAACGTGGTAAACCTCCACAAGACCAATAGGATTTGAGGTTTTCACGGCGGTGAGTCCAAAGATGGCTGTCTTCTGGGTTGTAGCGCCGCTTAGTCTGGTAGATGTTCACCAACGTTTCAGAGGTCCTTGCTGCCTTTCTGGCGATCGACCTTGTGATGTAGGCAGCAAGAACCTCTGAAACGTTGGTGAACATCTACCAAATTACACCATATTTCTACAACATGCATCGAAAGTCTGATGACGCACCTCTTTGGTCCAAGGTCCTTTCACCAACTCCGGATTGACGACCTTCTGCCAGCGCTGCTGACACTGCATATCGGAGCGATCGGGGAAGTGCCGCGAGATGAGGTCCCACCTCTCGTTATACTCCTCCACCAACAGTTTTAACTGCCCATCCTGCAACAAAACATTTCGCTGCTACCAGGGTCCGTCACCTTTCTTTCACATGGCCCCAAAATATGACCGACCACACTAGCCCCTCATGATGTAAACAACCCGTGAGCCTCACGTATTTTATCTGTAGTTTAGTTAATGATGCTGTCACTATCTCAGACTATACAGCGACGAATTACAGGATTCATTGCAAAGAATTGCAAAGAATTGAAAAGAATATGGAAGGAAAACGGTCATGGTCTTTTTTAAGATTCTCACTCATTTGCCTGGAAAGCCTGAGAAAAGTTATAAGGAATCCTAAAGATGATAGCTGGTCTCTGGGCCGAGATCTGACCCCGAGACCTCCACAGTACGAAGCAGGAGTAAACACAATGAGCATGTGTCTTTTATCAGTCTGTAGCTGACATATGAAAATAAAGAAGTCAATGTGATGGAATACATTTCTTTAGCAGAATACTGTACTGCTTAAAATTACTAACACTGCCATTTTAATTATTATATTATTAATTCTGTCATTTGTAAATACTTAGATAAAACCGTTAATTTTCATATCAACAACGAATTACATATAAATGCGTACTTTCAGGCTTCAAAGCCAGGCGAGCACCCTGATAAATTTGCTGACCTCTTATTCACATTTAACTTGGAACAGAGAACCTGCGAAGACCATAGGGCCAGAACCTATTCACAGGGACAGACTCTCGAGAGTGAAGCTGGGTTATATCGCAGCAGGGGCACGATCACTCTTTCTTTGACACTCGCTACGAACTCTGCTGTAACTCAGAATCTTCTCTAGGTTCGAGCTCTGACAGCTGATAATTGTATGTACCGACCCAAGAAGCTCATCTACTCATCCAGATCCTGGACCAAGCCCTTGTCTTGACAATTTTCCTTGCATCTCGGCGTGTTGCAGCCAAAGTCATTCGGCGTGCAAGTAGCCCGAAAGATAATTTCACTAATGAAATATTAAGCTAGCAGTAAATAATATTTCATAGTAAACTCGATAGCATTAAGATGGATCTTAGAACGATGTCGTTGGAATGAGAGGTGAGTAGAACTACCTCAGGATCAAGTCCAATGGCGGGCTCAAGTATTAACAGCGCTGGACCTTCGGATTCTGCTACTACAGTACAGTTTATATTTCATTAACGAATGTCGGCCCAGAGACAGAATATCATACGAAACTATTTCGAGGTTTTACTCTTTTCCTCCAGGCTAGTTGTGAGCTATCATAAAACCGTCCACAGTCGCTTCTTTCTACAACCATTCCAAATCAACTGGCAATCATGGCACTCCTGGGAAGCACCTTATGGGAGATTTCTTAAGCTATAGACAGTTGATAGGACTCCTTGGACGAATGATCAGCCCTTCCCAAGGCCTCTCCGTACCTACACAGAACATGACCTGATTCTAAAATAAACCAAGAATTAATAAAACCGTGTTTGACCGGTTTTAATGACGCCGTTCTAACTGCAGGGTATATGACATCACAATATAGGAAAAATGAGAATGAGCAGTAAGCAGATAGGGGTTTGAAAATATGTGGTCATAGCATGTGTCATGACACTGCCCAGAATTTGCCTGAAGACCGTGGAAGAACACAAAAAAACTACAGTACAAAGTAGGTCGACTAAATATAAGTAAGGAGAGTCGCCGGTACACCAGCCTTCTTGCTATCAATATGTATAAACACTTGTTTAAAATCTGGTGGAAAAGAAGCCATTCAAATCTTCTCAAGAATTCTTCATCCATAACATTAACACGACTTGAAATGCACGCATAGCGTAACAATTCCGGCGTGCTACTGTCTCTAGAATTTTAATTCTTGAATTTTGATTGTTGATGCTCTCTGATAAAAACTGCAGAACACGCAGGGTAGATAAGCAAAGGACCTCCAGTACAAAACTTGATCAAAATCAGTCCAGTGGTTCTCAAGTTCTCACACAGCATACAAATTTAAACCAATTTCGAATTGTTGTAAATGATTATTCTGGAATGCTTCTTCAGTGGTGGGTTATACACGATGTTGCGTCGAATTAAAGAGGATGTGAAGTAAGTCCGAAATGACCTGCGTTTGTACGCAGGGGCTGAGCAAAAACACGAAACATTGCAAACAGCTCGTCACCGAATCAATATTCGAACCTGGGGCATTCGAAATACAAAGCAGCAGTGCCAACTAAAGAGACTATCGACGTCTATTTAACCACTTACACCCTGTGGTGACTATACGTATCACGTGCTTAATCATTCACAGACTACTCTCACATGATTCTCAGAAGAAGAAAAATTACTTCTTCAAACACCATTAACAAAGCAATCTGTAACTGTGACGCGGTTTTCTTAGAGGTAAGGACTGAATTTTTTTTAATATTATTTATATGAGTTTCGGCGTCTGAGGGTTAAATCAGGTGTTACTCTAGCATGATAAACATTTACACTATTTAGTGCAGACGCCCAATTCCAAATTTCACCTAAATGCGCTGAGCAGGTTCCGAAATTAAATATATGGACAAACTACCACCACGCTGCCTGTTCAACTGGCAGGCCGGACGACTACGCCTAACCCATCACGTTCCAAAGCTCCACATTACAGTCACATACTAATTTTCTGCCGTGCTGATCAGGATTACGATGCAATTCGGGAAATGATCCCATCATTCTTAAAGGGCTGTGTGACCGAGCCGGTTTGCCCACTTGCGCCCGCCACATCTTGCACGAGTGCAATCCCCCCCATTGTACTCCACATACCCGAACACACGGTTCTCACGCGAGGGAAGGTCCGACACAACACCAAAACCAAACAGGACCACAGCTGATGTCTCGGTCATAAGGACCGGTTTCGTGGACCTCGTACGAAACTTTCTTCTATAAAATCTTAACTTCTCCTCTGACTGAAACACAATCGTTCCCTGCCATTTTACCTCTTATAGGCATTCTATTGTTCCTGCCATCAATAAGACCAACATGGCATTCAAGCGAACTTGTCAGACAGAAGGGACACAAAGCCACTTAATGCGAGATCCTGATTTTTTTATAACAGGTCTTATAAAATATGCAACTTTTGCTGAAGTACTGTTTAGCACAATATAAAGCAGCAAATGGAGGCCGAACGTAATCTAGCGTTAATAGTTTTCGGTGTGATAGCGAAATCTAATTATGTGCTGCAACTACGACCATTGCAATATGGGCTACGAGTGTAACAACAGCATATGTGACGTTCTAAACCGGGAACTGACTACGAAATGTTGAAAAGTATGGGAACTTGCACTGCACAGTCTTTTGAACAGAAAAGGAGTAATAAGTTCACAGACAATAATTTGGGTTATATGGGAAAAAATATCAGTGTTCTTTTATTGTATGTTTCAAAACCTTGTTCAAGAGCACTCATACACGAAACGAAAAGATTAAATAAATAATAGACGCTGCATATATCAGGAATCTATCTACCCCCCTCGTTCCTCGCAACCAGAGCTCAGAACTACAAGCCAATTCAAGACACTGACCCCAAATTCATACATCTATGCTTCCTACAAATATAGTTATACTCACCACCAGTCTGTGGCAGTAATGCTCTCAGTATGTGAAAAATTGGGGCAAGGAAACCAAGAGTCACCGAAATGTTCTCACTTAAATGTTCATAAGCCACTCCTCTGCACATCACAGAACAGTCGCCATGTCTTAATACACATTTTTTTTCAGTTACTTTTGATTTTTAAAAAATACGTTTTGAGGTCAAAAGAATGCCAGGAAAGGGAATCTCTGATCTAAATCAATTAAAAATAAATTAGAGACATTAAACATTATCAACATCCCTAACCTAATTGTGACACGAACTTCCTGCACGCCGGTCCTGATTACTAACGAAATGCCGACGGGCACACAAACTATCCAAATGGAAAAACACAACACGAAACCCCTGTTTTGATTCCGATAGTCGACATGCACAGTAACTTACGACAATCCGGTCCTAATTCCCACTGCATTCCTAGCCGAATGGGACGGCAGAATATCACACACCGGCCCGGTTCCTGCTGCAATGACAATGGGAGACGACAGCAATACAGAACACAAACTGTAATCTTCGCAATGGAGCGTTTACTTACTTCATTTTTACTCCAGCGGCCCTTGTTGATGGACTTGCGGCCTCCACTCCGAACTGTAGGCGGCATCTCATCGGCAGCGGATTCATCAGACACGTCCTCCTCGCTCGAGCCGCTGTCATAGCCGGAGCGGGACCTCAAACACATACAGATCAATCTGTAGCACAGACTCTCAACCTGTTAAAGAATACACTACTCTTGTTACTAGGTAACTGACTACGGGCTGGATGAATGGGATTTGACTCCCGGCAGAGGCCAAGATATTTATCTTTGCCATCACGTCCAAACCGGCTCGAGACTCACCAGGTCCAGGGTTACTTACCCGGGAATAAAGTGGCAATAGATGGATGGGCCGAGTGGTCAGCTTCACGCATTTTTATATCCTATTTTTCTAAAATGAACTTCAATACTGTCCTCCAATTTATGCCCGGAACTACATTCTTACATCTTCCCTTCAGATTTTCCGACCAACATATGCCGCATATTTCTATTCACCTTATGCGTGCTACATGCCAACAAACTATATGAACTACTTATAATCATGGCATCGAGACACTAATGATATTGCAATAAAATGCATTTCTAAAAATACTATCGCTATCTGAAAAGTTTAGTTTATCTAGGCGTGACCCATAATGTTGTTGACAAAGAGTTATGTAACTCGCTTGTTAACAGGCATTCCAGGATGTGGTAAACATAAATTATGTTAACCAAGATATTTATGACACAGATAATAGTAGTTACAAAGTTCGCCTGGCATTTCCAAAAAGGATTGCAAACATGTGATTAATCTCAACAAACAATTTCTAGTCACCAGGCTGTGGTCTCCCTGTATGTACACAGCCCCTGCACTCCCAGCAAACAACCACCGTCGGCCACTATAATACATTTCCGCTGTTTAAACAAATGAACGGATTCACTGCTAGGTTACTAGTTAACCAGAGTGAAGGGTCTTCCGCGACTGTTCAAATACATCAAACAATTCAAATTTAAGCCAATTAAGACTGTTCAACAAAACATTCTTTTGGGTTGTGACGTTTCCTGAAAACCAGATATAATGGTTATGTAGTCATGACTCAGTTACCAAGCCTCGTAAATGTATGTTACAATAAATATTTAAGGATGTGAGAACACTAACTTACTCGTTAGTCGAGTCTGTACATGCCTGGGACAAAACACGTTAATGGAATGATCTGGAGTACACATTTTCCAAATATGTAGCTGCGACTTCGCATAACTACCAAATTATTTCAGATGACAATGACAGCAGATGCAAATCTATTTTCCCACCCACACGGTAGCTGTGGGAAGTCAACTTCTGTAGATAGCGAATAGTGTACTTAAAAACTGGAGACAGAGAGAAATTAATGACGGAACAATTGAACGCTAACACCGTCGCAAAGGTATTCAAACTGCAGTAATTAATTTACTGTATTTTGTTAAACATCGAAAAATGTTTCAAAAAAGTTACAGGCCAGATGTAGATATTTTATTTTCTGTATTTAGTCTCTATACAATGAGTATTTTATCAAGTCTGTAAGTTCTACATAAGTTCATGACAGAGACATAGTTCCATTTAACAAGATATGAACCAAAATTTAATTACCATGACATTTTTGTGTATACACCCCCCCTCCCAATTATATTTCATCTTTATCTGTTTAGTAGTTTCAGAGTTACGCTGGAGGACAGAGAGAGACGGACACATTTTCATTCGTATTTCGTAATCGGGAAGTCCCAGATACACATCTCGGCCTGAAGACAGGCTACTCGGATGGTTTTCGTGGTTTTCCTCAGTCCAAGGCAGATACCGGGATCGTCACATGTAAATTTCAAGTAATTCGCCAGTTACCATCCTCGCATCAAACCAGTACCAAGAGCTCGCGATATTCAGTGAGTGGCATCTGAGCTTCACGAAAACATATTAATCAGTGCTATTGCCACTGGTCGCTGAATCAGGGAGCGAACGACGTACGTAAAGACATGCAGATCACAGAAAAAAAAATGGCCACAACACATTTATATTATTATCAATAAAAGTAAAGCTGCCCCACTTCACGCCGTGTAGGCGCTTGAGGGGGGGTAGAGGTGTAGGTCCTACTCATTCTTGACTCGGCACTAGATGGGGGTGAGTGGTCAGCATCACGCCCCGGTTGTGCTTTACTTCCGGGAAAGGACCCCGGTACCCATTAGATAGGAGGCTGGGTGGGCTCCAGAACCGGTCTGGGCGCAGAGGCTAGAGGAAAAATCATCTGCCTCCGTCGGGGATCGAACCCCGATCGCCCAGTCCGTAGCAGTTACTATACTGGCTGAGCTACGCCGGCACTTTAAATCAGAGACTTAAACACCAAGTTAAGACTACTCAGATGTTATATTCTCTCCGTGCTTTTATGCGGCGCTGAATCGTGGACGTTGACCGAAGCTGCTTCAAAAAAGTTGGAGGCCTTCGAAATGTGGTTGTACCGACGTATTCTCAGAATTTCCTAGACTGACCGTGTAACCAGCAAAAACGTTCTCGAGAAACTCCGCAAGGACGTCGAGGTTAAGACCATAAAAAGAGAAAGTTGGAATATTTCGGTCATATCATGAGAAATAGTGATAGATACGGGTTGCTTCAGCTGATAATGCAGGGAAATTATTCGGAAAGAGGGGACCTGGCAGGCCAAGAATCTCCTGGCTTCAGAACCTAAAAACTTTGTTCTCGATGTCCACTGGAGGGCTGTTTCAAGCAGCAGCCAGTAAAGCTCAAATTCCTATGCTGATCGCCAACATCCGGAACGGATAGGTACTTTAAGAAGAAGATGCTTCAATCACTGACACGAATATTTTTATAATATAAGTGTTAACAATTAACTAAAAGACCAAAACTTTTTTAAAATTCTAGACAAAGGCAAGACACATCTGCTTCGTAATAAGAAATGTAACCATGTGGGCCTGAAAATAATCCAAAGTGACTGAAAAATGTTGCCCAGAACTGAATTCTACATTCTTAATTATATAAACGTATTGTGACGGAATCTTCGTTCGTTTATAGACGTTCACTAACTTTAATGACTTATATCCTGTCTTCACCTCACCGTCTCCGACTTCACTTCCTATTCATTCCTATCTGGCGACTGTGCCAACACCAGGATCAAAGAAGAGGAAACCCGACATGGCATACGTCACCGCTGAATGAATCTGAGCTGTGCCACTTCCCACGCATAGATTGGGGCACCGGAACACGACCATCGAAACGCAGATCCTGGCATTGTGCACGACACAGGAAAATCCCACAAAACCCTCTTCGCGCCCTCCATCAAAATCACAGCCCTCTTCAAGAAAAGAACGAACCGTGACTCATTTTATACGAATGCACTAATGAATGGCTCAGAGAGACTCTGGTAGCAGATCCCAAAATTCCGAACACCATTAATACCACGGCCCGCCACTGGACACGACCCTGTGTCAATTTTATTCCACCTAACAAGCTACTCCAAGATTCATGGCAATGTTCGCCCTCCATCTGCTCTAAGTCTTCCAAATGTCGCTTTCTAGGTCTTCACACCAAAACAATTAATGTTAAAAATCGTATGTAACAGGGCTCCCGCTAATCACTGGTAAAAGTACAGAGCGCAGTCTGAAACATATTTTCTTAAGATGCATCAATACTTCTCAAAACGTTTTTGCCCTAAAAAGAAAAATATATTGACGGAACCCCAAATCAAACCAGAAAACAGCCGATATAAAACAACTTACAGTGTGGGGCTTGGATGGCAGAAAAGGATATTGCAGAGGAAATTACAAGCAATCTGATACTTCTTTCTGAACAGAATTCACCCTACAGATTCAAGCATATGAAGGAAATAGGCATCGTATAAGTTATCCCCACAATTACTTGTCATGTTCCTGAAAATGTTCTTGCTATCGAGCTGCGCTGACCAGTGTCCACCTCTGATCGATCAATGGCACACTTTTCGTACACAATAATCATGAGACGATCTGTCCCTTAACTTTCAATACATCTTGAGCGACATACGCCCTACATTATATTCTTGAGCCAGGCTGCATTAAGTTGAAGATAATCCAATCGGAAAGATAGCTGAATCACCATATGTGAATGTCCTGTCGGCGTCATACATCACAATTCACCTTAACGCGAGTTAACATCCGCTAAGAATTTCCGGAGGAAACACGGAACGGAAAGCACACTAAATACTAGTCCCCAATGCCTGTTCACTTCAGTATGCAAGTAGTGTACTCCAGGAGAGAAGACTGTTCAGTAAACCATTACTTGTGAAAATCATAATTTTTTAATAAGTGGGGCAAGGGAGTCCTACACGTCTGCGCGTTCTGTGATTTGGCATCCACCTTTACCTCTTCTGGTGTGGTAGACACCACCGCCACAACACAACAAAATATAAATAAATGTGACGACTTGAGAGTGTTTCGAAATTTAAGGATACCTGAGTACAACATTAAAAAACAGAATGAGGTTCGGTAATATAATCACTGGTAAAGATATTTTGAAAATGCTTCTCATTCAATTAAAAACTTCATCCCGTCTACTTTCTAAAATTCTGAATACTCAGATATGGAAAACAAATTTGCCACTTGTGTGAGTATGAAATGCAGTGTTTTACTGAGAGAAAAAAATATTAATAAGTTTTGTAAAACAAAATGCCCAGGAAAACACAGAGAATCAGGTAACGTTATGTCAAACTTCAAGACGAAATTCCCAGTCAGAAACGTCATGTGAACATAGGTCCGATTCTCAACGATTTAGGAGCTACTGATAAAAAAATTCAAGTTGATATGACCAAACAAAAAAACGATACAGTTGAACTTCCAGCATCACAGTACACCCCCTCCCCAAATTTCAGCTGGCACGCAATTCCTGAATGAACAGTCCCCAGACCAACAGATTGATCTTGATGAGCGACAGAATTGGCCAACATATTCACCGGACCTCATTGTGCTAGATTTCCAAGTATGGGGTTACATGAAACACGGAGTATTAATTCAAAGTAAAAAAAGAAAGGAATTATTTCTTTAAACTTTCGATGCTGAAAGATATGAACGGCCTTGATGTTTCTCTTAAGCTTCAAAGCACCCTGAATGTCAAACACCCGCAGCTCCGTAACCGTATGAAGGATGTCTTGTATCTGCTGATGAACCGAAGCGCAAATTCTTGTCGG